GTCCCTGAAATGTCACTCTTCAGAGACACTTCCCAGGCCACTCAGTCTAAAAGAGCCTCACCTCCAGCCACCTTCCCTCCCTTCACCGATCTACTCCTTTCACAGCACTGGCCACTGCAGGGACCCCACTTTTCCTCCTGCATCCTGTCTCTCTCTTGTCTGTCTCCCTACTCTGGAAGGGCAGGTGGGAGCGGAGATTCCCCCATGAGGTCAGTGGAGGGTCCTGTTCATAAGGAGTCTTAATAAGGAGCGTGCAAGAGAGTAGGGCTTAGTGGGGCCTCTCGCCAGTGTGGCCAGAAGAGACCTCTCTGCTGACAACCATACGATGGAAAACACACTCTGAGATGCAGTTCCCCTCCTCCAGACATCGTCCCCAGCAGACTCCTCCCCCAGGCATGTTCATCTCCACAGGCCCCCGCCCTGGCCCCTGTCACAGCAGCCAGCCAGCTGTATCACCCTGACTTGCGGGCTGGTCTGTCCCCCTCACCTCACGTGAGCACTTCCAGAAGAGGGCTCACAGATGCCATGCTCAGGTGATGCTCACAGGACCCAGGGTAACCAGTCCATGGAGCGCCAGAAGTTGGGAGGCGACTGGGAGGAGCTGGAAAGAAGGTTGCAGGGAGCCTGGGTGGCTCAGCGGTTGAGCATCTGCCTTCGGCTCAGGGCGTGATCCCGGGTCCTGAGATCGAGTCCCACATGGGGCTCCCCATAGGGAGCCTGCTTCTCCCTCTGCCTGTGTCTCTGCCTCTCTCTGTGTCTCTCATGAATAAAAAAATAAAATCTTTTTTTTTTTTTTAAAGAGAGTTGCAGAAGCTGCTCAGGAGTTGACAATAAAAAGGCCTGTAGACTTCAATCTGTGGATGTGGGAAGCTACAGTGTCATCTGCGTCTGAGGAGGGCAGTGACCCAGTCCTGTGCAGGTTTCCATGAGTGAGGTGAGCCGCTATGATCTTGTGGCTGTCCGGCGTCCAGGCCCTGGGTGACTGGCACGTCAGTCTCCACTTGAAAGGCTCCCACTGTGTGTCAGGCTGGTGGGCATTGTGCAGCCTCTCCCACAGAAGCTTTGCCTCCTCCTCCTGCTTGGGGCTGTTGACCTCCAGGCCCTCTCTCCCACCATGGGGACAAGTGGGATGAGAAGGGGGACCACATTCCCACAGCTAGGAAACAGCAACAACACAGAGCCCACCCACTTGATAGAATAAGGAAATGGTGTCTCCCTTGGAACTGTGATAGCATTCACCATTTATTGAGCACCTACTATGTGCCAGGCCCCCGATGGACTCTGAGTTTTTGCTCCCTGGAAACACTCTTCTCCCAGGTAGTTTTACCAGTGGTTCCTTACTTCATTCAAGCAGTCCCTGATCATCCATCCTGTCCCTACACGGCACCTACACACATCTTACCCTGGCTTTATTTAGCTTCTAGGCATTTGTTGACACTCTCTCCAACTTTACACAATGGGTTTCTTCATTGGCTTATTTTAATCTGTTTCCCAGCTGTAGTTAGCCCTACAAGAGATAGATACTCATCGCTTCGCTGCTGCATTCCTAGAATGACGGCTGGCACATAATCAGCCCTCGGTGAACGATTGTTGGATAAATGAGTAATTGAGTGGGTCTCATTTACTCCTCATAACCACCTCGTTTTCCAGAAGAGAAGACTGAGATGTTGAGAGGTTAAGTGGCTTGTCCGGCAGCTAGCGGAGTGTCTGGCACACAGTCAGTGCTTAATAAAAGTTAACTATCGATTCCTTTTCTGTCTTGCCCCACGTCTTCCCACCCCTGCCAACAACGGGGCCCTCTATCCTGGTTTCATCTCCATTCCAGCCCTCCCACTGCTGTGCATGAGGTCAGTGATTCAGTGCCTAACACAGCGGGGCCAGGATGAGTAGGGCCAAAGCATCCTGACTGGGAGGAGTTGGAACATGGGGATCAGGGCTGGAAAAGCAGCGTCTCACTCCTCCTGCTGCCAAAGTCCCATTAACTGCTCGGCTAGGCAGCAAACCCAAAGGCCTGTTTGCAAACTTGGGGCAGAGCATGAAGGGTGCAAGGAGGCAGCCCATCCCATAGATGAGGAGACTGAATCCCAAAGCAGATACTAGAAGATCCTGAGACTTGGCCAGCTTCGGGAAGAGTCACACATGAAAGGCTGCTGAGGCTGTGGGGCAGCAGACGCAGCCTGGAGTCCCAGCTTAGCCACTTGCTATGCTATCTTAGGAAAATGATTAGCCCCCCCCTCAGCCGTAGTTTCCTCCTCCGTAAAATGGGGATGTTAATAATGCTACCTCTGAGTTACATGTGATCACGTATGTAAAGCATCTAGCAGAGCCTCTGGCGTATATCATGCACTCAACATACGTTGATATTTGCTGATGATGACAGTAATGCCATATATTGGAACCCAGCCTTTAGGACCAGAAGGAATCTTAAAGGTCATCTATGCCCGTGTTTCTCAAACTTCTTCGTCTGTCAGAATGACTTGGTAACGAATACAGATGCCCAGGTCCCTTCCAGATCAAGCAGGGCTGCCTGGGAGAGGTGGGATTGGCTTTTCTGCTTCTAAGCAGCCCCCCAGGGGCCAGCCATGTCTGGCTTTGCCGGACCAAAGGCTGTTGAGGATCCAAATCCAGACCCGTGGGCTGGGAGGTGAGGAGGCAGAGACAGTCGGCCTCCAACAGACTTACTCTGGAATCCTGGGCAAGCCCTTTCTTTGCCCTCTCTGTGATCCATCCTTCCCACTCATACCTTGAGGAGTTTGGACAAGTCATCCAGAAGCAAGAATGAGACCTGAGGCCTGGTTTGCCTGAGACCTGAGTAGAGGCGGGTCGTTTTGTCTGTGCGACTCCCAGGTCCTCACAGGAGCAAGCCGGGAGGGAGCACAGTCCCTGTCTTGGCTTCCTGCTTTGGGGAAGCCAGCTGGCAGCAAGAGAGAGGCAGGCTCCCATTTCAAATCCCATCTCAGCCATGTGACCTTGGGTGAGTGACTTAGCTCCAAAGCTCTGTTTTCTCATCCTGAAAGTGGAGATGCTCATCCTCATGGTAGAAGGTCTCTGAGAAGTCACTCTGGCAATGCGTTTGGAGCCAGTGGGTCTTCTTAAATACATCTGAGTACTCCAGTCTCATGTGTTCTCGTTGATCACCGGCCAGCTGACCGCGGGCTCCTGGTCACCTTGGGAGGACGCTGCTTATCACAATTCCACCCCCAAGGTCTTCCTCAGGATAATCTGTCCCGGGTGATTCATCTCGTGGGCCGGGCCCTTCCTCTCAGGCCTGAAATATCTCCCTCCCTTCACCATTCCTGGGTCAGGCCTGTGACCCCCGCCATGTGACTTCCTCTGGGGACTGGCCCTGGGCCCCTGCCCGCCTGCCAGCCCTCCAGTCCCTGGCCAGTGACCCATCCTGGGCCTGACATATCAGGCAGGGCTCAGCTAGAGAGGAGGAAGCCCACAGCTTGTTGTGCTGGGGAAAAAGTGCATCCCCATGTCCGGCCCCCACCCTGGCCCAGCCACACCTCTGCCTTCGGCAGGCTGGGCTTCCGCCGCACATCCTGGCATAACCTGACCCGTTTATCACCCGGCTTCCGCGTGGTGCCCTGCCCCTCGGGCACACACATTCCCAGGGAAGCTTCTGGGCTGGCTGGAGCAGAGGGGTTGACCAGTATACCCCACAACTTTGTGGAAGTCACCTTTTTCTGGAACCAAGGACAGCTCTTTGGAGAAGGTAAAGAGTTGTAGACACACATCCCAGCTCCACTGTGGACTTACTGTGTGACTTTGGGCAAGTGAGTCTACCTCTCTGGATCTTAGTTTACCTAATTTTAAATAGAGAGAAAAAAATACTTCCATCTCCCATTGTTGTGAGGATTAAATAAGATAATACAAGCTGACTGATACCCAGGCTTCACCTCCAACCAATTAAATCCAAATCTGAGGGATAGGTCCCAGGCATTGGATGCAGCCAGGCATGGAAATCACTGGTGTAGAAAAATAATATTAAGAGCCAAAGCTTTGGAGGAGATCAACACGGGTTTGGATTCTGGCTCTTTTATATAATTATCGATCCTCAAATAGATCACTAGCCTCCCAAAGCCTCGGTTTACTTGTGCATAGATGGGAATAATAGTGCTGAACATTCCAGTGCTGTTGGGAATTAGTACTTAACATTCCAGTGCTGTTACAAGAAATAAAAGGAATAATACGTAGTATGTCTTTTGCACATAATGAGCACCCCAAGTGACACATGTGAGGCAGACCTTTGTCACTTCACCACAGTGCACACAACATTGAGCGCTGTGCCCAACCCACACGTGGCACTTCCAACAAATATCTGCAAATGAGTAAGTGTGGCTTACCATAGGTTATGAAGTGAAACATCTGTTGTCACAAGACAAAGCTCCTGTCTTTGGACAGACTTTAAAAATGACACATCCCTTGCTTGGGGCACCTGGGTGGCTCAGGGGTTGGGCATCTGCCTTTGGCTCAGGGTGTGATCCCGGGGTCCTGGTCCATGCCGGGCTCCCCACAGGGAGCCTGCTTCTCCCTCTGCCTGTGTCTCTGCCTCTCTCTGTGTCTCTCATGGATGGATAGATAAAATCTTAAATATATATATATATATATATATATATACATATATATATATATATATCCCAGCACCTGGATCTGCTAGGAGTGGCCAGGACTCTGTTGTGACCACTGAGATGTAGGTGGAAGTCACAGATTCTTAGCCCCTTGAATTTGCCCTTCTTTGTGGGCCTCTGGCTGCCATCCTGAAGAACGGCAGAATGGAAAACAAGAACTTGCCAGCATGGAAAACAAGGACTTGCCAGCATGGGTGAGCTGCCATTGCAGCCCAGACTGCACCTCTGGGCTTTCATTTTTCCCCCAAGTGAAAGGAAAATAGACTTCTTGTTGTTTAGGCTCCTGGTTAGGGAGGGTTTTTTTTGTTTCTAATAGAAGGAAAACCGATGCTTTGGGCTTCCTTGTTGTTCTACTATCTTTTTTTTTTTAATATGTAATGCTTCACAAATTTGTGTCTCGCCCTTGCACAGGGGCCATGCTAATTTCTGTATCATTCCAATTTTACTGTATGCACCCCCAAATCAAGCACACTCATTGTTCTTTCTGTTCATAGTTGTCAGACTCCAGTTAAATCTATGCCAAGAGGACCAGCAGCCTGTGTCATTAATTCCCTTGTCAGCCCTCTAGGTACCCTGGAAAGCCTGCCAAGCCCCAAATCTGACCTCTAGAAGGTTCCAGAAAGGAAAGTGCCTCACTCCTTCCTCCCAAGACTGAAAGCTCCTGGCTCCCATTGCTCTCCTGAGCATGGTCTCTGGAGTCAGGCGAGTATATGAGAATCTTAACTCCTGCACTGATTTGCCATGGGCAAGGTGTCTTTGAACGAGCCTGATTTCACATTTGTAAGTGGGCCTCTGCCAACCAAGAGATAGATTCAGTCCGGGAACTCGGAGAGGGAAAATGCAAAGTAATGCTTCCAAATAAACCCAGAACTAGGTCTGAACATCTAAGGGAAGGGAGGTGAGAGAGCAAATATGATTATAAAAAGCAATAGCCCAGCCACAGAGTGTTGGGCATGTGCAGGGAAGAGAGTGCGAGGGATTTAACTTTTCTCACCCTTCACAGTAGGGAAAAATAGAAGTGAGAGTGAAACATGTAAATTAAACAAATATACAACCCCCCCCCAACTTCTTAATGTTCTTCACAATCTTAGGGGGTCTTGTAGGAAACATCTGATACAGTAACAAAACAATGGAGCAGTGGGTCAAGTTAGCAACTGCTTTGATTTCAGTTAAATTCTTTTTCTTTCATTAAATTTGAGGATAAATCAGCTCCATATTTTACTTTTAAAATTTAGCATACAGAATAAGAAATAGGTGTATTGTGAAGAAGCATCATAAACAAATGCCAAAGAGATGGACAGTTTACTTAGCAAAGACTTTTGGAAATGTATCTAATAATAAAAGCATTCAACTTATACCATACTGATGCGTTTATTAAAGATTTCAATGTAAGGGGATCCCTGGGTGGCGCAGCGGTTTGGCGCCTACCTTTGGCCCAGGGCGTGATCCTGGAGACCCGGGATCGAATCCCACGTCGGGCTCCCGGTGCATGGAGCCTGCTTCTCCCTCTGCCTGTGTCTCTGCCTCTCTCTCTCTCTCTGTGACTATCATAAATAAATAAAAATTACAAAAAAAAAAAAAGATTTCAATGTAAATTATGAAACTCTAAAATACTACAAAAAACAAATGTGTCTTTTTAACTGGTACAAAGGTAAAAAGGAACTTTCTAAGGAAAAGGCAATGAAAGAGATGACAAAGGAAAAAATGATGTGATAAAGTTAAAACTTCAATACATCATAAAACAGAACACAAACAATATAAAAGTAAATAGTCGGGTAAAAATAATTTTGACAAGAGGTAGCTATCCTTAATACATAATAAAAATCTCTAAAAAGTCACTATTATTCTAATAAAGAACATGAATAGACAATTATGGATAGAAAAAACAGTAATTACAACAAATATATTAAAAATTACCAAATTCATTACTAGAGAAATATGCATTAGAGCCACAATAAAAAACTATTTATTATCTATACAATTGACAAAATATACTTTTTTAAAAAATATTTTACTTGTTTATTTGAGAGAGAGAGCAAGGGAAAGCACAAGCTGGATGAGGGGAAGAGGGAGAAGCAGACTTCCCACTGACTGAGCAGGGAGTCTGACACAAGGCTCAATCCCAGGACTCTGGGATCATGACCTCACCCGAAAACAGACACTTAACGGACTGAGCCACCTAGGCGCCCCGGCAAAGTATACTTTAAATGTTAATTCTCACTACTCATTAAAACAAGTACTCATGCATCATTTGTGAGGTTATAAATTAATATTTATTTTAGGAAAGCAAACTGAGAATTATCTCAGAAATATTCATAGTCCTTAAGTCAATAGTGCTACTTCTAAAGAAATAATCAGAGATGGGTTCACAGATGTCTATACAAAGATGTCTATACAGATGCCTAAACACTGTCTTTTATTGCAGTGTTATTTATAGTAGTGAAAATTAGCAATAATCAAAATGTCCAACTATAGGTAAGTAATAAAATACATTATGATTTATAATTCATGAGTTTGATAGAATATTATACAGCCATTATAATGCTGCTTCCAAACCTTATTTAAAGACTTGGGAGGTTTTCATGATACAGTATTAAATGAAAATTCAGGACTTGACCTTATATTTGTATAATTATTACAATAAACATCCCAAATGGAAATAAAGAAAAATTTGCTTGAAGAGTGTGATCGACTATAAAGTTTCTTTTCCTTCCTTCCTTCTACCCTCCCCACCTTCCTTCCACCCAAACTTCCTCCTTCCTTCTCTCTCCTTCTTGCCCCCTGCAATATATATGCCTACAAAGATATCTGGAATGATATTGCCTAACATTAATCCTGAATATCTGGAGTACTGAAATACGTGTGATATCCTACCCCCCCCCATTTTTGCACCACTCTGCCTGTAGCTTGAATTCTTTGTAAACATATTTAGCATTTTTATAAGAAAATAAAATCATTTTCCAAAAAATTAATAATACCTATTTTTGTAGAGTTTTGGTGAGCATTGAATAAGATGACCAGGAAAGCACCTGGCACAGTGTGGCAAGCAGAATTCTGAGTTGGCCCCAAGATTCCTGCCCTATGCTGGACAAGCCCCATACATGCAGCTCCTGCCTGGAAGGTCCCCTTCCCTTTCCCTTTGGCTACTTTCTGTTCATCCTTTGAAACCTGCTCAGGTCAATGTGAAGAATGTCCAGACACCTAGGCACCACTAATGAAATTGTTTCTCCGGACACATAAAGTCTAGCAGTGACAGCCCAGTCAGATAGAAGAAAGGGTTGGAATACCTTCATAGAGCAGTAGCATCCAGGAGTGACAGTTCAGAAGTTTTGGGTACAAAACCACCTGAGACAGCCCAGCTCCTGCTTTACTGACCCATCTTTTTCTTTTTCTTTCTTTTTTTTAAAAGATTTTATGTATTTACTCATGAAATACAGAGACATAGGCAGAAGGAAAAGCAGGCTCCCTATGGGGAACCTGATGCAGGACTCGATCCCAAGACCCTGGGATCACGACCTGAGCTGAGGGCAGATGCTCAACCGCTGAGCCACCCAGGTGCTCCTGACCCTTGTCTTCAGGCTTCCCTTATTCCACTACTTTCCTGGTGTCCTTGTAACAATTGTTTTAATTTAAATTAGTAAATTCTGTCTCGGCAGCCTGCAACTCAAGTACCCAACTGTTGCTCTGTCTCTGCAGAGTTCAAAGCTATTAAATGTTTCTAGAATGAATATTAGTTGCACAGAGGGCTGTTGTGAGAGGCTATCCTTACCCCAAGTCTACCTTCTGAAAGACAGGTAAGGGGACGGACGCCTTTGCAGCCTCATCCTGAGACATCCTGGGCTGGAGGGCAGGGCAAGCACCGATGGCTCTTGCATGCTAAGAAGCTATGCCTGCCTGAGGGAGCAGAAACTCGGGTTTGGGGCACCTAAGTGACGTGCTCAGAGCCACACAGCTACAGCAGAGCACAGGACCTGGTCTTCTGAAAAACGCCCTGGTTAGGCTTGTGTGCTCCTGGAGGATGCTAGGCCAGGGTCTCCTCTGCATCTACACTCGCTCAGCACACAGACGGTGCTCAACACGTGCTCAAGGGCTTCCTGGTCCTCCCAGGAGCCCCAGGAAAGTGGAATTATCGGCAGCTTCATTTTGCAGATAGACTGAGCCTCAGGGGGGAGATGTGCCCCCAAGGTCATCCACATGTGATGTGGGGGTCCTGGACAAGATGCCAAGTCCACCAAATGTCAGAACCCAGGACTGTCCCTCAGTCCGCCTGGCCTCTGAGAGGATGGAAACCCTGCGGGGTCAGGTGGGACCAACTCCCCCCGAGTGGCCTGGTATGAGAGGAGTTGGCAGGTGTATGGGGGTTTCGTATGTGACTGAAGAAGGGGACGAGGGGTGCCCAGTAAAGCCCAGCTGTGTGCCACACAACCCAAAGTGGGTCACATAGGGCCTGGCCCGGCCCGGCACGTGGCCTTGGGGCGAGACAGGGCGACGGTGAGAAGATACGGTGTCCTCCTGGCTGCAAGGGGCCAAGCCCGTGGGCCAGGGGGCCAAGGGTCTGGCCAAGCAGGGGCCGCGGAGCCGAGCAGGGGGCCAGGGGCCAGGCCCAGTGGGTAGGCCTCGCGGAAGCGGTGGGAGCGCGGCCGGGAGGCAGCCCCGGGAGACTGTGGCAGGCACAGCTCCTCTGCACCCCACCGCTCTAGGCCCAGGGGAAAGCCGCCTCCGGTTTCCTCAGCCCACGAAGCAACTCTCACAGAGACTCTCTGCCTTCAGTGGCCTCGGTTTCCCCATTTGTAAAATGAGGGCAATGCTGGGGGCAGCAGACACTGGGGCACGCAGCCTTTCTTAAGGCCTTCCCCTCGGGGAATGATAGAGACTTGTCATAGTTTCTTGTGGGATTGACTGTTGCCTCTCTGGTTGGGGTTTGTCCTGGGGACTGTCCCTTGAAAGGCTGTTTTTCTGGAGGTATAACTGCCCCTCAGGCTGGGCTGAGGACACTTCCTTGGGTGAAGGAGATGCTGTAACCTGGTGGTCCAGAGGGGGCTTGTGTGACTGTGTGACCGCTGGCACAGTGGAGCCTTGCTGGTCCCAGAGAGTCACGGACGGGAAGGGGGCCTTGGCCCTTGGCAGAGCCACCTCTCCAAGCCTCCTTGTTTTCATTTGCAAGATTGGGAAGCTGATGATGCCTGCCCAACAGGCTGATGAAAAGTCAGAGCACATCCCTTATCCTCTAAAGAGACGCCTTGACGAGGGGTGTGGTAGGGGATCTGCATGTGGACAGTACTATCATGTCATCTTTAAAAGGATCTTTTAAAGGAAAGGGTGCTTTATAAAAGTAGCTTCTGAGCTGTTCTATATTGAAAAAAAAACACTTTTGTGTATTGACATTAGAAGCCATTATTACTTTGGGATGATTAAATACACTCATGCATAGCTCTGTTATGTCCCAGGCACAGTTGTAGGCAGTGTGGGT